TATCAGGCACCAGCAGCACTGGCAGGGGGCTGCAGCCACCCCACATTTTGCCACCACTCTGCTCCCAGTCCTTTGCAGCCAGGCACAGCTTGGCTTCATGTCCCACCTCCACCTACGTGCTGCAGCCCCCTCCCAGCATTGCCCGCTCTGAGGCTTTTCTATGGGGATGGGCTCGGAGTGGGCATTGGGAGAATGCTGCAGCCACCCCAAATTTCACAGCAGCTCTACTCCCAGTGCTGCTGCCCTCCGCCTGGCGCAACCTCAGCCCTTCCCAGCATGTGAGTGGAGGAGGGACATGGAGCTGAGCTGCACCTGGCTGTGCAGGGCTGGGAGTGGAGATGCTGCAAAATTTGAGGTGGCTGCTTCTCCCAGCGTTGCCAGTGCCCAATCTGAGCCCAGCCCTCGCCAAGAAGAGTCATGTAATGCTGACTCCAGCCTGCCCATACTGTGCAGATCCAGGGGGCACCCTCCCCCCCGAACTCCCAGGGTGCAAGCAGCAGCAGGAGATTCTCCCTCCCCATGAGCTATGCCTCTGTCCTGTGCCCCCACCCCACCTGGGCAACGCCTGCCCCTGCCCCCTCCCTCCCTCACTGCAGGGACGTTTATCTGGCCCCCCACGCCCTTTCCCTCCACCTCCCCTTCTGACTTACCATCTGGAGGCAGCTCTCCATGCTGCTGGCTCTGCTCCACGCTTTCATAGATTCATAGATATTAGGGTCGGAAGGGACCTCAGCAGATCATTGAGTCCAACCACCTGCCCCAGGCAGAAAAGAATGCTGGGGTCTGATAACCCCAGCCAGGTGCTTGTCCACTCTCCTCTTAAAGACCCCCAAAGGTAGGGGAACACAACCCCTCTCCAATAAGGGAAAAAACAGAAGCTGAGGAGCAGCAGGCCACTAATCCCCTGTGTCAAACTGGACATCCAGCCCATAGGCCATAGATGGCTGACCCCTGCTATAGGAATGTTTGGGGTTTTTTATGTAAAAGTTCAAATGTTGCACAAGCTGATGATACAGGCTGAGAATATTTATATTTATCATTGGTTACTGAGTTTTAAAAGTTCTGCTTCAACTCAAAAGTTGTAAAAAATATGTAAATAGAAAAGAAGTTGGTATCCAGTACAGCCAATTTTCTTTATATTGGTACCAATCCGATATCAGACCAATGTATTGGTGTACCTCTAATTAAAATAAATCAACAAGATGTGGTAGGTTCTGCATCTCTTGATGACATCAGTTTAGATCAGAATAATTCCTGAAAGATGCACTCCAATCAGACACAATCAGAGTGTTTAGTAAAAGGATAATTTTCTTGTAATGGCCTGTGATGTACAGGATGCCAAGCTAGATCATCTAGTATTCTCTCTGAATCAATGAGAGCACTTGTTAAGCATCAACATTTGTTAAATAATAATAGTTTGCTATTTTTTCTTAAAAGCATGCAATTTGCCAGATTAACAATAACCTTCAAAGAGCATGCTGTGCAGATTCGGGGAGTGGGATTTAGAGCTCACCATTGCTCTTCCAGGATGATTGGTTGTCCAAGTGCTGATCCATCCCCCAACTATAAATTAGAACATTTCCATGTTATCAAAACATCAGCAGCAGCCCCTTGCAGTTGAGGATGATTGTCTTTCATGACTGCCTTATCTGTGGATCCAAAAATGTCCGATGAGCAACTCCAAAAATGCATGTGTGACTTTTTTGTACAAATTCTGTTGCAACTTGGACACGTTTCCATGCAGAGTAAGTAGATTGTTTATTCAGTCTGTCACCAGTTGTTTCTGCCACTCCTGCTTTTGTCTCCTGTTGTTGTAAGGTTTCAAAGTACTGAGATCCTTGCAGTGGACTTCCTTCATTTGGGGTACTCCTGGGCAATAGTCTCCCATGAGCTGAAGTTGATGTTTCATTTTTTTTTTTTTTTTTCAAGTTGGCCTTGAGGATGTCCTTAAAGCACTTTCTCTGCCCTCCTCTTGAGCATACCCCTTGACTGAACTGAGAGAATAAAATTTGCTTTGGGAATCTAGAGTTGGACATCCAGATGATGTGGCCGGCCCAGTGAAGTTGATGCCGGATGATCATTGCTCAGGGTGTTTGATTGCAAGAGGACACTAATGTTGGTGCATTTGTCTTCCCACTGGTGCACCTATGGTCAGATAGCTATTAGAAGTATAGAACAGAGCAGGTGTCCTACTTCCAAGGAACTGGTCCAGTGTGTTAATTTTCCCCATGTATGCAACTGACAAAAGTCATGCATGGATTTTTGTAGTTGCTCATTTTCCAGCAGTTCTGAGAGCTGATGATTGCTGTCTGTTTATACTTACAAATGTTACTTAAATTACTTTTTTAACATGATAGCAAGATTTATTCTGCAAGTCATTTTTATTATAAATGACTTGAAGACCAATGGGTAAAGTTAATATCAAGGGAGTTGCACTAGTGATGAACTTGGTTCAAAACATTTAATTGCATTTACTTTGAAAGGTAGCCAATTTATCAGTGCTTAAAAATCGGGTAGACAGTATTTGCACATCTAGTAGTTCCACTTAATGGCAATTGTGGGAATTGGATAACCTAAAATACACACACATTGGTTGAAGACCTTCACGAGACAAGTACAAGACACTAAAACGTGTATATACCTGACATTATAAATGAGTAGTCCTGGTGAAGTCACGTGGATATTTGCAGGTTTGGGACCTTAATTTGTAATGAATTAAGTGTCCTTAGAATCAGACCTAGTTGAGTGTTTGCTAGATGCCCCTAAACAGCTATGGCAGATGGTTTTTTACATGCATTTGTAGTATTCAGCCTTCCTTGTTGGATATATGCATTAGGATACAGCTTTTAATAGCATTATCACTTGAGAAATAGTATCTGATCATATAATGAAATCTGTCTTATCATGTTACGCACAACTCCACATAGCAGTAGTGTAACTTAGGGGGCATGAGTGGGACACCAGCCCAAGGCCCCAATTCTGAGGGGTGCCCGATTTTGTTCAGGAAGCTTGCACTGAGGCTGCAGCAGCCGTTGGTGCTGCAGTTGCAGCTCTGTGCGAGGAGGTCATTCTACCCCACTTTCTTTCCAACTGCTCAGGATACCAACATTTAAAGTTATGCCTTTGCCAGAGAGGCCAAACAGTCCATTTCAAGCCTTTGTATGGAAAAAAAACCCAAAAAACAAAAACCCCACCACAAACTTCTGATATGCAACATATTCCAGGTAACAGCAGACATTCTTTTGTATTTATAGTACGTGTTAGGTCTCTATCCTGCAGTAATTTCTGCTTACGCTTAACTTGATATTTTAAGAATTTTGATAAAAGTACTTGTACTACACACAGGCTTATGCAGTATTTCATTGCATGCGTAAATTTAGCAGCCAGGACTTCAGGTTGAACAGCAATTATATGAGCTTGTACTATTTGAGAAATAATATATACCAAAACAATTAAAAGTATATTTGTAGTTCATGTAACTATAAGGCAAAGTTAAGACCATTTCAAACTATGCAGTATTGATTCCGATGTTGTTCTGAAACCATAACCATTGATTTGCAGCTAGTGCAATTACATATGCTAGTACTTGCAACATAAGTGATAGAGGAAAAATACTTTACCATCCTTATAATAGAAATAATATACTATCCTTTCTTTGGCATCAGTGATATTTATTGAAGTCAGTGGGGTTCTGAGCTTGTAACTGACAGCAGAATTTGTGCCAGCGTATTTAAAAATGTAAACAACTTATAACTATTTGGCAGTTATTTGCACATTCTGTGCAAGAACAAATAATCACTTTAGCTTCTTGTCCTATGGCTATTATACACTTCAGTTAAGCAATAGCTAAAGTTCATTGCTTAACAAATATGTCCTCTAGTACAGTGCTTCTCAAAGTGGTGGTCCGCGGACTGGTGCCAGTCTGCGAGCCACCGGTCGCCAGTCTGCAGTCAGTTGCCAGGAAAGAAAGAAATATATTTTCAGAAGCATAACATTGATATGTCATAGCGCCGCAGTTCGTATGTTCCAACACTCTAGGTAACATCATGTCGTGCGAGGTGAGGAAAGAGAAAGAAACAGCCAGTCGCGCATTTGTGTAGCACTGTTGCACGCAGTTGCTGCCACTGGTTGAACTGGGCACCGGTCCCTGGCCCACTGGAAAAAAAAATTGTCAGTCTGCCACATCAGAGAGTTTGAGAAGCACTGCTCTAGTGCATTTTTTGTGTTTGATTTCATTTTCAAACCTTGCTGTAAAAGCACTAAATATAAATAAGGGTAGACAATGTTATTTGCATAGCTTTCAAAAGATTAATAAATAGCAAAAAATATTCTTCTTCTTAAACTATTTGTATATAAAGAAAGAAAGAGATTCAGGAGATGTGTATTTTCTAACATAATGGTGTTTTAAAGGAAAATGTGAACTTTGAACTGACAAATTACTTACCAGAACTACTATGTACATTAGCACTAAAAGACAAACATTTAAACTTTCATATTGTTTTGTTGCATGAGTTACATGCGATTAATTGAACAGTCACTTGTGGAAGAGCAAAAGTCTCAATGAGATGTGTCTGTTCACTGTACTGTGCAAGTTCTGTACAATGTTTGTTAGTTGTGTGACAGCTATTCCATTTAATTCATCTTTGCTCCCATTACCCAGAGGCATAACTAGCAATTCTGGCATGCTGGCCGAAAGGAAGGGCGGGGTGGGCAGATTGACATCTGCATCTCTGAGCACTGCCGGAATAGCAACCAAAGAGCAGAGGTGAAAGACCAAAAAGCTGGGGCCAGGTCTGTTACCCCTCTAAACTGGCAGCTAGGGCTGGTACCCCACTTGCCCTCCCCTAGTTATGTTGCTGCCATAACTAAAGTTTATCTCTTTTTCTGTACTACATGGTAGCATTGCTTTAACAGAAGGAACAAAATAGCTGGCTTTTGAATGTGGTTCCCAGGGCTAACGTCCCTGGGAAGCCTCAGGAATATAACCTCTTCCAAGGGACCAGGCTGGCATGGTCTTCTCTTCACTGTACTTCAAGATGGTAAAATAGGATACAGTATCTATACTCTGCCTGGGCAAAAGGAACTTAGGTGGAAAAGAAAATTGGAGTGGCTCAAAGAATTGACTGTTGCCAGTAAAAACTGTAGAAAGAGGGTGAGCAGAATAATATTGACTTAAAAAAGTGAATCGAATTGCTCAGTTTCAGGTAGGAGACCAAAGGCTGGATTATTCTTATGCATCAGCTTTTATCTTGTTTAAGTTCGTTGAAGTTAATATGGTTGCTACTGATTTCCCCCCCCCAAGTGTAGGACTACACTTCTTGCTGCTTAGGTGGAAAAATTTTTAATACCACTGTTTCTGAAGATTTCCCCCTAAATGGGAAATGATTGCTAGTGATAATTAAGATGGGGAAATCTTTGATTGTATTTTTCTCCAAGGCAAACTAAAATCAAGAAACATCAAGGTAAACCTTTTAGGTAGAGAATATAATATGCTTTAATTCTCCATTTGGACTTTTTGAGGCCAGTATCTCTAGATGAGAAATCCCAAATGCCTCTTGTTACGTCTGAGACAGAAATTGATTTTTGTTATAAACGTATTTCATTTTGGGAATTCTTTCTCTACCCATGTACCTTATTTAATAAGCCACATAATATTGTAATTGACAATACCTTAATGTCATTTTTTTAAATTTCAGTGAGTAATAAAATGTATTCTCCCTGATGGTATAACTATAGCTACTACAGATCTTACATGGGCAGGTACTCTACAACACAGATACAAAAAATTCTGCAATATGTCCTTCATGGTTGTAGTCTGTTGAATGATCTCCAAGATCTTACCTTCCAAAGAAACAGTATAGAAAGTGCGTTAGAAACCTCTGCAGGACTGAGCGATCAGCAAGGATTCTGGTTTTCCCTGGTTAAAAAAAACAAATCACAAATTCTCAGATTAAAAAACTGCAAAATCTGTGATTAATATGAAAGGCCCCACCCAGCCCTGCTGATGCCCCTCACTCCTCACCCCACCCCAAGTCCTGCTGGTGCCCCTCAGCCCCTACCCACGGTTCCTGGGCCCCCAGCTCTGCTGGAGGGGGGCCCCAACTGCCAGGGCTATGGGGCCAGGGACGCGGGTCCGCAGCCCCCTGCCCCTGGAAGAAGGCAACAACTGCTGCAGTGGAGTGTGCTGCCTACTGCCTGCTGTGGGCTTGGGCAGGGTGGTGCTGGCTCCCTGCTGCTGTGTGTACTGGAGTGGCTGGGGGGGACCCATGGCCCCTAGATCTGTGTGCAGGGTGGGTGCAGGTGTGGTCTGCCTGTTGTGGGATTGGGCTCCTGCCCTGCTGCCCTCCCCTGGGGCCTCCACAGCCCAGCAGGTGCGATCCAGCACTGCAGAGAGCTGTGGGGTTGTGCAGGAAAGCTGTTTGCTGCTGCGAGCTCTGTGTTGGCCTGATGATGCATTCCCTGCCCACACGGCTGCAGTGGGGACAGCAGCATGGGGTTGTGCGCAGCAGATGTTGCCAGGACAATGCGGAGCTTGCAGTAACAAGCAGCTTTCTTGCATGGCCCTGCTGTTCTTTGCAGTGCTGGGTCACACCTGTTGGGCAACAGAGGCCCCAGGGGAGGGCAGCAGGGCAGGAACCCAAGCCTGCAGCAGGCAGCCTGCCCCAGCCCTGCCTGGTGCAGAGATCTGGAGGGCATTGCAGCACGGGGCCTCACATCCCAAGCACTGCCTGGCTGGGCAGCAGCCCCAATCCCTGCCCTGCCCTGCCCTGCCCTGCCCTGCCCTGTCCAGTCCAACTCCTTCCCTCCCTTTCTGTTGGGGCCTCAATCTCCACCCCCTTCCACTTACCTACAGGAGCTGCTCTCCAGGCTACCTGATGCCCCCTGCCTGACTGTCCAGGTGGAACTTGAAGGAGGTTGCTCTCAGTTAACTTTGGGGACTGGGATGGAGCATAATGGAGGAGGCAGTCCCTTAGGTATATAGGGCCCAGTACACTACTTTAATGCATAAGGTTAGCAGCACGTGAGGCAGCGATTTTTAAGCAGAATGTTGCGTGCTGCAGGTGTGTAAACACCTACATGATTCACAAGATAAACCTAGCAATTACAAATAAAAATCCATCATGTAAAAAACATTCTGGCCTGTTGTGGTCTTCCTGAAATAGAAAGAATTCCTCTATTATTTTTCTGTAGTAAAAAAAGAAATGAAAACTAAGAGGAGGCATTTTCCAAGGGGTGCTTTGAATCTACAGAGGGGTGCCTTGAGTCTGACAAGATTGAGAGCTACTGCTATAGGGTTTTTCAGGACCAGAGTCTTAGACTGTAAACTTCCCAGCAGAAGGAATTGTTTTATGGTACTGTAAAAAAAAATATTATAACAAATATTAACATATGGCAAAGCTGTAGGAAGTAATTGCATGAAAATCACTCAAGCCAGGATGTTTTAATTACTATCTTTCTACCCTACCTTTAGTTTGGTGAGGAGCCAGATTTCACAATCTAGAATCAGATAGTGATGTCAGGGTCCCTTGACACTGTGGAAGGTAATTTTCTGCCACATTTACAGTACTTAATGTTATTTTGTATTTAGAGAGAGAAATTATATGCCATATGCCATCTGGATAAAGGCCACTTGCAATTCATTTGCTGGTGCATCTTCCTTAATATGATTTTCACTAATGAAAAAAGAAGAATAAAGATTACATTCAGATTGTTACTTAGGAGCACAGTACTATTTATATAGACACTGTGTATTGTGAAGAACAGAAGTATTCATATTTAAACTAGTTTAGTGGTTGCTGTGGCCAGGAACCTAATAAGTACAGTATGCATCAGTATATGTTTAGTAAAAATTATGCATTTCCTTTTTGTAAATTTCATAGACATTAGGGCTGGAAGGGACCTCACGAGATCATCAGGTCCAGCCCCTTGCCCAAGGGGCAGGAAGTCAGCTGAGGTCAGATCACCCCAGCAAGATAAGTGTCCAAGCGTTTCTTAAAGGTATCCAGAGTAGGTGCGTGCACCACTTCTGGGTCGAGTTTATTCCAGACTCTGGAGACTTGGACGGTAAAGAAGTTTTTCCTTATGTCCAATCTAAAACGATCTTCCAGCAGTTTGTGACCGTTAGACCTTCTCTTCCCTTGGGGTACCCTGGTGAAAAGATGTTCCCACAGTTCCTGATGCACACCCCTTATTCTTATAGGCTGCCACCAAGTCACCCCTGAGCCTTTACTTCTCCAGGCTGAAGAGCCCCATGCCTCTCAGCCTCTCCTCATAAGGCCTGCTGTCTTCACCTCTTATCATGTACGTGGCTCTCCTCTGGACTCCCTCAAGATTCTCCACACCTTTTCTGAAGTGTGGAGCCCACAATTAGATGCAGTACTCCAGCTGCAGCCTCACCAAGGCCAAGTAAAATGGGAGGATGACTTCTTGGGTCTTGCTTGAGATGCATTGGTAGATGCAAGCCAGACTTTCATTTGCTTTGCCAGCTGTGGCATCACATTGGTGGCTCATGTTCATCTTGTGGTCAATCATGACCCCCAGGTCTCTTTCGGTTGTGGTGCTAGCGTGTGTAGCACTGCCAAGCCTATAAGTATGATGTGGGTTTTTTCTTCCGAGGTGGAGTACCTTTCATTTCTCAGTGTTGAATGCCATCAGGCTTTCATCCACCCACCTTGCGAGCCTGTTCAGGTCAGCCTGAATTGTCAGCTTATCCTCTAGCATGAAGCACCTTTCAGCAATGGAACCCTATGCATCTTAAACCACTTTATAAAGATGAGCAAATAATAACTCAGTTCTCCGGCTAATGAACTGAAGTACAAGGAGGCTACATAATTTATCCAGGGTCACAAAAGAAGCTAATTTAAAAACTGGGAATTTAACTGATAAATCCTGATTTCCCAGTTTCTAATCTAACCTGCCTCTATTGGTATAAAATTGTAAGAGAGTCTTATTTACTGGTTATTATTATTTTAGCACATTTGACATGCTAGTGGCTTCCCATCCCTCCTCTAAAACTGGATGGTTATATTTGTACATGAGGGGCCTGGAATTGTTTAATAGTTCTATCTACTGCATGTTATACAAAACAAGCTTATACTAATATGCCAAGCAGTTCTTAAACTGAAAATGTTGTGGAACGTGTTTAAAAATGAAATGTTAGAAAGAATTAATTAGTGTTTTCATTCTGGAACCAAGAATGAGAAATTGACTGTTTATTTTCTCCATGTATATGTGATCATCTTAGCCTTAGTGTATAGTGAGCTGAGAGACTAGTGGAGTGAAATTTCTGCAATTACTTGGTCAAGTACAACCAGATTTTGATTTGACCTTATTAGTAACTGGTATGCATCTATGTACACAGTTTACTAAATATGTTTTCATAACATATATGCATGAGGGCTAAATAAAGATTTCATGGGGAAACTCGTCTGGCACTACATACTTTTTGAGTTCTTATAACATTTTCTTACATTAGCTATTTTTGTACTTAGATTTTTAAAGCTACAGCACAGACTTCAGCTGCCTGAGTAGACATAATGATAAGTAGCAGTAATAGGCTATTATTTACTCATTATGTAGGTTCAGTTTCAGGTTTTGGAGAGAAGTGCACTTTAGTAGTTATAGACCCTTCTGCCTCTTTCTCCCCTGCCCCCAGCTTGTGCATGTCCTAAAATCCCCACAGTTCCTGCTCTCATAATTGTTTGTTCCTACAGACGACAACTGCAAGTCTTCTTTCCCTCTCTTCCTCTGCTTCCTGATCCTGTTTTTCTACTTCTATACTCCATGCTTTGCTGCTGTCACTTCCAGTTAACCCTAGTTAGTGCCTTTGTATTGGAATAGGGCTCCTTCTTGCTCCTTCTTGCTATCAAGACACCAGCATGAGGAGCACTGAAAGCATGGGAGTAACAGTTTCCCTGATCACAGGTCTGGAGCAAGGCATGATAGCAGCCTTCAGAGCTATGAGAAGCAACAGAAGAGAAAGTCTCTCTCAAGCACCTGCAAGTCTAGGATGGACTCTGACCAGGCATCATGTAAGAGAGGTACAGGGATTGAGCATGCTCTATGGAGGTAGATTCTTTGGAGGATAAAGCTGCCAGTTCCAACAAACCTAATGAGCATGTATGATCTTCAGTTCTGCAAAAACTTACAGCTTGACCATATTTAGGGTTATTTCCATGAAAAGACACATTTTTTACTCTTGCCAGGTTTCAAGTCCTTGTTCCAAAGGTGTGAGAATTAAATGGATAGGGGCCCCTCTATACCTTAGGTGGACGTATGGGTTCATTGAAGTCAGTAGAAAATTTATGAATGGCTTCAGCTGGGGTCAGAATTTCACCCACTGTGTTCAGGAAACTGAAATTAATATGAACCATATCTTAAGATGAACAAGGAACTGCTTTTTGTATTTGTCTTTTAAAGCTGAGGAGAAACCACCACAACATTGACAGAGCCTGACAGTACAAAGGTACTGCTTAAGAAATAACAGACTAATTATTAATCATAGAACATTAGGGTTAGAAGAGATCTCAGGAAGACATCTAATCCAATTCCCTCCTGAAAAGCAGGACCATCTGCAGCTACATCCTCCCAGGCAAGGCTTTGTCTAGCCAGGTCTTAAAAACCTCCAGGGATGGAGATTTCACCCCCTCTCTGGGTAACCTGTTCCAGTGCTTTACTAACCTCCTTGTGAGAGAGTTTTTCCTAACGTCTAAATTAAACTTCCCTTTATGCAGCTTGAGACCATTGCTCCTTTTTTGTCATCCGTACCACTGAGAACAGTCCAGCACCATCTTCTTTGGAACCACCCTTCAGGTAGTTGAAGGCTACTATTGAATCCCTGCTCAGTCTTCTCTTCTCCAGGCTAAATAAGCCCAGTTACCACAGCTTGTCCCCAGAAGTCATATTCTCCAGCACTTTAACCATTTTTGTTGCCCTCTACTGGACTCTGCAATTTGTTCACATCCTTTCTGTAGTGGGGGGCCCAAAACTGGGCATGATACTCCAGATGTTGGCCTGGATACTCCAGATGTTGGTGCCGTGGTACCCTCATTAAGAATCACTAGTCTAACTGATACCATCCTGTCCTATTTTGTCAGCAATGCGGAAAAATGAGTAAGCATGTCTTACTACTGTTTTTTCATATACATTTCCAAAGGTGGGATTGTCTTTGGATCTAAGCTGAAGGGAAGGAGAGAGTAAGATCATCAGAGAAAGAAAGAAGTTATTGTCTTATCACTGTAAGTTAGTCATCATTCAAAAAACCACAAAACAAAAGGCTGCTAAATACTGGGTCTCTCCATCTGCTTAGTGTTCTCCTGCTAAACTGAATTCCCACCAGCTGCAAAGAACCGTATTTAGGGAACAGTTGGAACTAGTAAACACCATAAGAGATTTTTGCCATTAGCTGATTTATCGTCTTGCCCCCTAAGTTTAATGCTTTAAGTAGTTCCTAAGTCAATATACTCACACTTAACTTTTGTTTTTTCTGTGCAGGTTGTATGTAATAAATAACACAGTGCAAGAATAGCTGGTTGTTTCTATTAACTTGAGTTGGTAGAATAGTTAATATTAATATTTGAGTGCTCCTTGTTGAACTTAAGATTTAACATAACTGAACCAAATACATAAAAATATTTTCTGAGCCTATTTTCAGAACCAATTAGAAAATAACCCCAAAACAATCTATGGTATACAATATGAAAAGAACATTTTTTTTTGTTTTAATCTAAATTACTGCATATTTTATCTATTTGGCATTCATATTAGTATGTATATTTTTTCTAAATTTATAAAATGTAACTAAATTAGGTGTATAGTTGGCAAATGACCTCAAATGTTTATATATTTTTTCCAAATGACATCAAAAGGGATGGAGTTACCAACCCTTTAGAGGATAGCATTAGGATTCAGAATTACTTTGATAAAGGGAGAAATGGCCTGAAATTAATCTGCTGAAATTTGGTGAGGTCAAGTGCAAAAAATCCAATAACATACTGGGCTATATTTATTTCTTAGGAGTCAAGGGAAGTGATTGTTCTGGTAAAGCCTCACCTGGAGAACTGTTTCTAGTTTTGGATACCACACTTCAAAAGAAGACCTGGGCAAATTAGAGAGTCCAGAGGAGAACAAAACAAATTATTAGAAAATGTGGAATCTAAGAAACACAAAAGGTTTGAAGAATTGGGATTTAGTTTAGAAAAGAGAAAATTGAAGGCAGATATGCTAACAGTCTTCAAGTACCCAAAGGTTGGTTATATGGAGGATGGTGACAGGCTATTCTCTAAGGAATGATGACCTTAAACTGCTGCATGGGAAATTCAGGTTGGATATTAGGAAGAACTTTTTCATGGTGAGGGTAGTTGAGCATTGAAACAGTCTACCCAGAGAAGCTGTAGAATCTCCATCCTTAGAAGTTTTAAGAGAGTGGTAGACACTTGGCTGGGATGATTTGGTCAGGGATGATCCTACTTTGAGCAGGGAGTTGGACTGGAGCAGCATTTTTCAACCAATGGATTGTGACCCAAAAGTGGGTCACAACAATATATGAAAGAGTGGTAAACAAACTTTAAAAAATTATTCTCCTTTAAAGGAGAAAAATGTGGGAAACTGTGGCTTTTCCCTTGCTGGCTGGCAGAGTTCCAGTCTGCCAAGGGCTGCTTGAAGCCCTCCATCCCCCACACACACTCACTCCCTACACCACAGACTGGGGGTCTGGGGGCGGTGGGGGGTAGCAGATCAGGACTGAGGGGCACTGGGTTGGGACTGGCCATTGATGTTTACAAATGAGTCCTGGTACAAAAAAGGTTGAAAACCACTAGACTAGAGGACCTACTGTCATTCCTTCCAGCCCTACTTTTCCATGATTCTCTGAATGCAACAAATTAAAAATTATCAGAAGTAGCAGCTACAAAGTAGACATTTTTCCATACAATCACTTCTGGAATAATCCAGGGCAATCCACCAAGGAATCAGATATTTTTTTCTCTCTCTCATTCTAGTGTGAGGCTCACTGCCATTGCTAGAATTGTTCATGGAGGAGTCTAACTGCACCTCACTCTTGTAACTGTCATAAAAGCTCCCAGGAACTCGAGATGAGTTTCACTTGGGGACTTTAATATAGAATGATAGGATCATAGAAAATTAGGGTTGGAAGGGACCTCAAGAGGTCATCTATTCCAACTGCCTGCTCAAAGCAGGACCATTCCAAACTAGATCATCCTAGCCAAGATTTTGTCTATTTGGGCTTTAAAAACCTTCAAGGATAGAGATTCCACAACCTCTCTAGGTAACCTGTTCCACTGTTTTACTAACCTCCTAGTAAGAAAGTTTTTCCTTATATCTAACCTAAACTTCCCTTGCTGCAACTTGAGACCATTGCTCCTTGTTCTGTCAGCTGCTACCACTGAAAACAGTCTAGTGCCATCCTTTTTGGAAACCCCCTTCAGGTAGTTGAAGGCTGCTATTAAATCCCCCTCAGTCTCCTCTTCTCTAGATTAAATAAGACCAGTTCCCTCAGCCTCTCCTCAGAAGTCAGCCCCCTCACCATTTTCATTGCCTGCTGAACTCTTGAATTTATTCACATCCTTTCTGTAGTGGGGGGCCCAAAACTGGACACAGTATTCCAGATGTGGCTACATCAATACTGAATTAGAGGGGAAGAATCAGTTCCCCATATCTGCTGGCAACACTCCTACCAATGCAGATCAATATTTTGTTAGCCTTCTTGGCAACAAGGGCACACTGTTGGCCTCATATTAGCTTATTGTCTACTGAAACCCCCAGGTCCTTTCCTTCAGGGCTGTTGCCTAGTTGGTCAGTCCCTAGTCAGACACACTGATGCTGATCATTTCTGCAACTAAAAGTCAGCTCCCAGTAATAGAATTCACAAACCGAAGTTCCT